AAGCCCGACAACCTGAGTCTGCTCAGAACCCCAGAAACCAGGGGAGGGAGAGAACTAACTCTCCTGGGTTACCCTCTGACCTACACACACACACACACAAAACAAAGAGTTAACTGACTCTATGTAAAAAATAAGAAATTTTGCCGGGCGGTGGTGGCTATTGGGAATGTAAATTCTAGAATCATTAAAATTTAAATGGCCTTACTGTTTCCATGGAAATAAAGACTTCATGAATAAAGGATTACTACTGTAACCCATAGAGACATCTGTTACCCTGAAAGCCACACATTGTTTTATGCCACTAGGAAATAGATTTCATTTGTTTTTCTTGTTTTTCCCATTGTCTTTTGATTATTTCTAGTTGCGGTGTTAGGAGTTGAACCCAGGATTTATGCACATGCTAAGGCCAGTGCTCCATCACTTGGCAGTGTCCTGAAACTCCTGTTTAAATCCTTCTTGGAGATTTACACACACACACACACACACACACACACACACACACACACACACACACTTGGACACATACCTTTTTTTTTTTGTCCTTCAAGACAGGGTTTTGCCACTGGTGGCAGCAGTGGTAGCGCATGCCTTTAGTCCTAGCACTCGGGAGGCAGTCAGGTGGATCTCTGCGAGTTCGAGGCCAGCCTGGGCTACAGAGTGAGTTCCAGGAAAAGTGCAAAGCTACACAGAGAAACCCTGTCTCGAAAAACAGAAACAAAAAACAAAACAACAACAAAAAGACAGTGTTTCTCTGTGTAGCCCTGGCTGTCCTGGAACTCACTCTGTAGACCAGGCTGGCCTCGAACTCACAGAGATCTGCCTGCCTCTGCCTCCCGAGGGCTGGGATTAAAGGCGTGGGCCAGCACTCCTTATGTTTTACTTTCTTTTTCTTTCTCTTTTCTTTTTTTAAAAAGATTTTTGTTGTTTTTTGTTTTTCCTTTTGTTTTTGCAATAGGGTCTTATTGTGTTGTCTTGGCTAGCCTGGAACTTGCTATGTAGATCAGGCTGGCATTGAACTCACAGAGATCCACCTGCCTCTACTGAGTGCTAGGATTTAAAGGATGTGCCATCACTTCTAGCTTGAGAATTTTTAAAATTAAAAATACTTCATTTTATGTGTATGAGTACTCTGCCTGCATAGGCCTATGTACCGCTTGAGTGTCTGATGTCTACAGAGACCAGAAGAGGGCATGAGATCCCATGGAATGGAAATTACTGTTGTGAGCCACCGTAATCATGCTGGAGATTGAACCCAGGTCCTCTGGAAGAGCAGCCAGTGCTCTTAACCACCGAACCGTCTCTCCAGCCTCCTATTCTGAAAAGATTTTATTTTTTAATTTAAAGATTTAAAAATGTTTACTTAAAAATATTATAGATTATTTATAAGTGTGTGTTTTGCCTGCATGTATGCCTGTGTTAGATGTGACCTCAGATGTTGGAGGTCCGAAGGCATCAGATAACTTGGAATTGAAGTTGTGGATAGTTGTGAGCTGCTATATGGGTTCTGGGACCTGAACTCACATCTGCACGAGCAGTACACACTCTTGACCTCTTAACCACTGAGCCCTCTCTCCAGCCCTTAGTTTTGTTTTTTAAAACTTGTTTACAAAGTAATAAGGATAGGCGTTTGCTATATATTCAATTTGGTTGGTCCCCTTTTCTTCTTGTCTTCCTGCTCCCACCAGTACCCTTTGGTTCCCAGTACCCCCCACTTCAACTGTGTTCTAGTATGTTCCCTACACCTCCTAGAAGTTTCTTTTTTCCCCAGTCTCATGTACTCCTTCCTAGTTTTTTTGGACTTTATCCATATTAATTTCCACCTGGATACTCATATGGACACACACACACACACACACACACACACACACACACACACACACACACAGTTTTTTCAAGACAGGGTTTCTCTGTGTAACCCTGGCTGTCCTTCAACTCACTCTGTAGACCAGGCTGACCTCGAACTCAGAGATCCTCCTGCCATCTCCCAAGTGCTGGGATTAAAGGCATGTGCCACCACCACTTGGCAAATTTTAAAAAGGTATTTATAAACGGGGGTCAGGGAGATGGCTCAGTGGTTAAGAGCACATACTGCTCTCACAGAGACCAGGCGTTTTGTCCTCAGCCCAGCCCATCCATGGGGACCACAGACACCTGTAATTGCAGTTCTGGGGTACCCAACAGTCTCTTCTGACCTCTGCCAGTGGTGCATGTGGTGTGCACACATACACTCAGGCACCCGTGCATAAATATATAAAATAAATATTTAAAAATCGATTTATGAAGATTTTTTTAATGACCTGTGTCCAAAGTATGTCCATTTGAGGAGTAACTTTCTGATTATCCAAGCTCATACCCACCCCATCTATGTACGATGCAGAAATAAAAAGAGCGGGAGGACAGCAGTATCATCCATAACGCAGACGCCAGTGACAATGTTCAGGCCCCCTCAGTTGATAACTGGTTTTAAGAGTTTTCATGTCGTACATACACAACATGTTTTACTACACTTACTTGGACTCCTCTCCTCTCCTTCCTCCCCCTCTTCTCCCTTCATTTTTTTTCTTTTAGTATTTTGTTTTTGTTTTTTCTTTTAATTTTTTTTAGTTTTTTGAGGCAGTTTAAATACTGTGTGTGCGCATACATGCTGCACCAAAGCTCACATACTGAGGTCAGAGGGCACTCTTTCCAGCGTGTGGGTTCTCAGGATGGAACTCAGGTCCTCGGGCTGGGAAGGAAGTGCCTTTCCTGGCTGAGCCATTGACCAACTTCTTTCTGTACCTGGATCTACTCTCTTAGGAAGTCGATAGTCTACACTATTACTACGGATAATCTACGTTGTCCATCTCATCCCTGAATTTACCATCCTTACAACTCAACTTTGTGCTCCTTGACCAACCTTGCTCCTTTCCTCCAGCTCCAACCACTCCTATCCACTGGTCTATGCAGTTTCTCTGTAAGAAAGGGGTTTCCTATCCCTAGGGAACACTCAAAAATGAAACTTAACATCCGAGGTTTGTAATTAAAAATAAGAAATCAGAGGTCAACCCAAATGAGTATGTCCTATTACCTTATCCACTGAGCCAACTCTGTATCACCAGGATCCGGTTTAAGACTAGTCTCGCCAGGTGTTGGGGCACATGCCTTTAATCCCAGGAGGCAGAGGCAGGCAGATCTGTGTGAGTTTGAGGCCAGCCTGGTCCACAGACTGAGTCCAGGACAGCTAGAGCTACACAGAGAATCCCTGTTTTGAAAAACAAACAAACAGTCTCACCGGGAGGGCTTGAGGAAGAACAGGCAGTTTTTTTGGCACAGTAGTTAAGGAATGGACAGAGAAAAGTGAACTTGGGAGTTGGTCTTTCTCAGCTGCCTGCTTTTTTAGACTGATCTGCTGTTCCCTCCCTAAGTGTCTGTTTCAGACCGCTTTTCAATTTTGTTTGTCCTTTGTTAGATCAACGACTTACAACACTACAGTGCAGTAGACGATTGTGTAACTAGCTGCCTACACTGTGCCTCTCCATGAGTTAGATTACTAATCGTTCTATATCCAGCAAGTAAAAGTATCTAGCTTTCAGTAGATCCTCGTCACTGTTAACCATGATTGCAGAAGAACATACTGACTAGTACTAAGTTTATGAACATGAGTAAACCCCGGGCCCTTAATCCAGCATAACCAGTGATGGTAATGTATTAAGACCTATTCACTCAACTACCCACATAGATGCATTCCGAGGACTCTCTCCCATAACCATCTGCACTTTTTATGGATTAGATTTTCTTCCTTTTGTTGTTTTTACTAATTCATTTATTATTATATGATAGTGTGTGTGTGTGTTTATGTGTGTTATGGGGAGCTGAATTCCAATCCTCACACTTATGGCAAGTACTTCATCAACTGAGACATCTCCCAAGCCCAAGATTTTCTATTGTTCTAAAAATAAGGCAGAGCAGGAAAACAAAAAAGAGGGGAAGGGTTAATGATCTTTCTTTCTTTTAATCACATAATTCTGTTATCACTTAAATATAGAAAGCAGTACTTGAAAATAGTATTGTACCTAGCCCACCATGGTGGTGCATACCTTTAATCCAAACACTCGGGAAGCAGAGGCAGGCGGATCTCTGTGAGTTCAAGGCCAGCCTGGTCTACAGAGTGAGTTTTAGAACAGCCAGAGCTACACAGAGAAACGCTGTATCGAAAAACAAAAAAGAAAGAAAGAAAATATTATTATACCAAATGTAGAGCCAAAAAATTACTTGTATCTTTTCATACATGCTATTCTATTACAATTTTGGTAACATTTATGTATTACTCGTGTGTCAGGGTACATTAAGTGGTGGTACTCTTCTTCCTTGTGGGTTCAGGAAATCTCTATCAGTGTGATCAGGATTAATGGGAAGTGGCTTTACCTGCTAAGCCATATTGCTGGCCCTTAAAGGTTTGTTTTGTAAATTGTTACTGTGTAGGCACGCATGTGTGGAGGTCACAGGACAGCTCCGTGGACCTGGCTCGCTTCTCCCACCTTGACATCGTTTTGGGGGATTGAACTCAGGGCATCACACTTAAACCTTAACCCACCAAGCCATTTCACTGATATACATACTAGTGTACACACACACACACACACACACACACACACACACACACACACACACACGTACCATATATGTATATGTTAGTGGTAGTTAATCCTTAAAAACCAACAAGCTTCAAACTGCCATAAATCTCTAGTTAAAATTCTCAGGTACTAAAGCACCCACCATCTTTTTTTTGTTTTGTTTTTTTGTTTTTCGAGACAGGGTTTCTCTGTGTAGCTTTGCGCCTTTCCTGGAACTCACTTGGTAGCCCAGGCTGGCCTCGAACTCACAGAAATCCGCCTGGCTCTGCCTCCCGAGTGCTGGGATTAAAGGCGTGCACCACCACCGCCCGGTGCAGCACCTACCATCTTAAGATGAACAAAACTTCCATTATCTCTAGGAGAAGCATATTTTAAAAAACAAACACGTAAGAAGAAAACCAGAATTCTTTAATGAAAAAATTACATTATAGCAAGAACACTGTACATTAAGTTCTAGTATCTACATACGTTTTAAAATCCCTTTACAAACCTGGTATAAAGTAAGCATGGTCTCACACCCACATGATTAAGTACAGTCTGACAGGACCTGAAGAAGCTGAGGCACGTGCTGGGGGGCCTCAGCATTCAAACCTCCAGTGCAGGAGCAGACCCCAAAGCTTGTGTTTCCTCTTACTTCTGTGTGGTTAGGAAACACTCACTTTGCATAAGATGTTAGAGCTTTTTAAGCACACGAGCTGCCTAGGTAGAAAATGACTACTGAGGGAAGTCTGTCGTGGTTGTTTATCTATAATTTACTGCTGTATATACAACGTTTACTTGCAGGGTCGGAACACGGAAACTACAAAGAAATGAGCCAGCCTATGATTATGAATTTCTAACCACTTATTTTAAATGTCCAGCCTACTACTGCAGATAATACATCCTGTAATACATGAACTAAAGGATGTTTGTCAAATTTTGCTGTGGAGTTGTTAAGAGAAAGCCAAACACAGATCCTGAATTTTTATACACTTGTTTTTAAGCTCTAGTACATTTAGAAAGAATTAAACATTTCAATATGTAAACATAGTTTTAAAAACTGATGCTGGGCTGGAGAGATGGCTCAGAGGTTAAGAGCACTGACTGCTCTTCCAGAGGTCCTGAGTTCGATTCCCAGGAACCACATGGTGGCTCACAACCATCCGTAATCAGATCTGGTGCCCTCTTCTGGCCTGCAGTCATACATGCTGTATACATAATAAATAAATAAATCTTAAAAAAACTGATGCTAAGCACCTTTACCATCACTGACATGTGTGACAACGTATACATTGAGAAGACAAATGAAATTTTAAATTCATTGTAGACACCATTTTTAATAATTACTCATTTAAATACACAAGAATATTAATAGTTTCAGTTTTTACCTGAAAACAAGAACATACAATTAGGTAATTTAAGTGTTCAGTTTTCTGTTTTGTTTTTGTTTGTGGGAAGAATATATGTAACTTACTGTCCTCATGATAAAAATATAAATAGAAGACCCAGTCACACAGAATGAAGTGACAGAACTATTTTTTTGTTTTTGTTTTTTCAAGACAGCGTTTCTCCATGTAGTTTTGGTGCCTTTCCTGGAACTCACTTGGTAGCCCAGGCTGGCCTCGAACTCACAGAGATCTGCCTGGCTCTGCCTCCCGAGTGCTGGGATTAAAGGCATGTG